CCAAAATCGTGATTTTGCACATTCGTCATCCGTTTTCTGAGGCGACGAACTGCTAAGTTGCGTTGTGGGAAGGTACATATATTCTCAGATCTTGAACCGTCATCAAGGTGGGTTTTTATACTGAGGACCGGCAAAAGTGCTCAGATATCCTCCAAAAATTTCAAGAAAATCCATCTCTATTGGCTTTGCGCTTCAAGATGATCCAAAAATTAGGATACCTATGAAAAGATCGACATGTACGTATACATGTAGGACGGGAGCTTCTTTCCCCAAAACAGCGTTCGCCTCTCGGAAGGCAATGGAAAACAACGGAGTGTACTATTTTTTTCACAAAAAAACTTCTCATAAAATCTATTTGCCGTTCGGAAGTGGCGATAAATCGTAGCTCATTACATTTGTGTAACAAGATCAGGACACACGCTACAAATTGAAGGAGAAGCTCAGCCAAATACTTAGCAAAAGTGTAAGCGCCCAAATATTATTATTATTATAAGGTATTCATGATCTTACACAGGCTTTTTGTATACAGTAGCAAAGCAAGTCTTCTACGAGCATTGGGCTCGCTCTAATAGCGGAGACCGTGTCAGCTGATACGACCTCTCCTATTTGATTTACCAGGGACGTGAACCGGTTTTGAACCGAACCGGGTTTGAACCGGAAAACCGCTTTTTTCTATTAATTAACTGAACCCTTAACCGAACCGAAATTTTCCACAAATGTTTGATCCGAACCGAAAACCGAACCACTTTCTTAAAGGTTTAAAGGTTCATTTCAACCATTGTTAAACCTACCATGTTTTTTACCATGTGACAATATCAAATGTAAAGGCAACCCATCTCATTTGACAGACACTTGATCATTAACCTTGCGCGTTATTTTTTTTGTTTTTCGAACCGTTGAACCGAACCGAAACCCCGGTTCAAAGAGCAAAAAAAGCACTTTGACGAACCAATCCAAAAGTGCAATAACGGTTCGAACCGCTTAACCGAACCGACCAAATTTTTCATCCGGTTCACGTCCCTGTGATTTACGTGTTAACGAAAATTCACCATCGCACAAGGGTGACGTTGTCGTTGCTTCACTCTTTCTTCCAACGTCAAATTAGTAAGACGGAAACCGTCATCTCAACTAGGAAGTCTTAGATACACTACGCAGCTCTTTAGTCAATTTGATGATTTCGCCTGGCGCCTTCTGATTGCCTGAAACCTCGGTTCAAAAAAAAAACCGTTTTAATGAACCAATCCAAAGATGAAAAAGCTATGCGCGCTGCTAAATCGAACCGATCAAATTTTTTATATCGCTCACGTCCCTGCTGGACAGAACCACTTCTACCTTGTTATACTGGCATCAATTAGCTATTTCATTTACTTTTCCTCGAAAGATGAGTATTAAAATTAAGGCTTCGAGATCGCTGTAGCATGTGAAATTCAGTTTGCACTAAGGAAGTAATCAATTATTGGAGACGGAGAAGGGATCCCTTTAGGGTCGATAAGCTTCAACTCTCAATTCCGGTGAGAGTATTGACATGACTGTTGTCGTTGGTGGACGAAAAAGTGGACGCATTTCCATTTCTATTCCTAAACTGCCAAGCTTTTGAAATGCTGCGATCTAAAAAACTATAATCGCACTTTTTACATAGCCCTGAACCAATTCTTGCCGCTGTGAAACTTCGAACCCTAACCTGGCCTTACTACGTGGCCTTAGGATCTTAAGCGTATGTAGTGAGAGCCATTTAAAAGCCACAAAATCATACTATAAAATAAGGCGAACGAAGGTACATATTTATGTAGTTAACTTTAGGGTTGTTGATAGTAGTTGGACTTTAAAGAATTTAAGATTCAAATAGTAGTATGTCGCGCTTATACCGATGCGAGCCCATATTGCAGATTCTGCTTTATTAATAGGAAAACTATGACTTTATAAATATTTCGATGTTATTAACCATTGAAAAAATATTTAAGAAAAAGCTGGCGCCTACGAGCCGAACACCATATCTTCATAATTTATGTATTTTAAATTGAAATTCCAAAAGCACACACTTTCAGCTTAAGTGATATGTATATTATTTTTTACATATTTCAATTACCTAAAAATATAAATGTTGTTTTTCCTACACAATAAATAAAAAAGTAATTTTAAATTAAAATCATATAAAATATGCATGTAAAAACCGAATGGCTTAAGATTGACCTCCAATTGCTTATATGTTGTATCTACCATTTTCGTGATGCTAAATATTTTACAGTTTTATGCACTATGAATTCATATTTACACTTATGTATGTATATAGAGCTAAAAAAGGCCTCAAATTCTTAACTCATACAATGTTTTTAATTGTTCATATTGCGCTTGAAATTCACATATTTTAATATGAATGTGTATGCATATGCATACCTTTTTTTTATATATTCCAATAAATAAGCCAATTTATTCTTATCACTTATGTATAATTGTAGGTATATGTATATATCAATTGCAATGCAAAAACTTACCGGCATGCCAGAATCGATTTGTCCAAATCGCGTCGTACGCCACGACTCCAATATCAAGAGACCGGCGTACACTTTACCAACCGACAATTTGCCCTTATTCAGTTGGTCTATGGGTGGTACAAGCAAATCCAACATTTTCTTCGCTTGCAAAGGCCATATATTCGTTATGGTTTCCCTAAGTTCCGAATCCGCTTGATCCATTTCCTCCGCTAAAAGTACCAAGGGGGAGGAAGGAATAGGAATCAATTGTTTATGTGTGGTTTTCAATGGCCAGTGTTTTGTTTTTTTGTTTGTTTGTGCTAATTCTATTTATTTGGCATTTGTGGCATTCGACTTACCAGATCGCATCTTTATACTCAGATTTTCGCGTATCAACGCAAACAGCGTCGTTGTAAATTGTACTCTCATTTCATCATCCAAAGGCATATTCATACGTATCAGCTTCTTGTAGGCGAGGCGATTGGGACATTTGTTACCGAACCCCAACGGAGGATCCATATTTTTCAACATATCATACATTTCCGTATAATGTATTCTACCACTAGGATTTTTTCGTTTGTTCACAGGGGTTTTTTGGAATTTTCATGTGATTTTCCAATTTGAAAAACGATTTGTATTGTTTCAGGATTTTTGTTGGTTTTTTTTCGATTTTTGTAAAAAGCACATATGTAAATAAGTAAGAAAATTAGTTAATTTCTTGGAAGTTTTCAATTATGTTGTGGTACATACACACAACGACACACAAAAATACACGAATAGGACAAAATTTACCAAAAAAGCAATAAAATACGATTAGCTAGTGAGCAGAACAAAATTTGCAGAAGAAAATTAGCCAAAATTATAAGAATAAATATGTATGTAAACTACAAAGCGTGGAACGAAAATGGAAATTTACTATATACACATAAAAAATATTGAAGCAAAAGGCGATACGATTTTTCGTTGAAGATAGTTTCTGTTTTGTTTTTGCGTTACAGCTATGGGAAAAGCTTGAAAGACGTTTAAATACAACAAGTAAATAGAAGAAACTATAGCTACTTCCTCCAAGAAATCGCAAAAGGAATGGCAAAAAGTGAAAATTGATCGTCTTCACAAATTGGTATTTATGGATTAACAACCTTTAGATCGGTGGTGGGCATCAGCTTGCCCACGGGCAAAGCTCTTTCAAGCTTTGCATATATTTGGTATAGAAAGTTTGCATGAGCTTTGTCCGCGGGCAGGCCGGTGCTCACCACCGTTTTAGATACTAGCAGTAGTTTGGCTGTTGAAAGCGTTCTCTAGGATTTTTTTTTTATTTTTTCTAAAGCTTCGTCGATGAGCTGTAAATATATATTTAAGCCTTGAACAGCAGCTGCGAAAATTAAAAAACAAACTCTTTATTTTTTAATTAATATAAAAGTAAAATTGTTGAGCTTTTATGGTCTACAGTTTCAGCTGTAAATGAAAGCTTAGCGTTCGCAAGCTTTCGCTGTTCCAACGGGAGACTGTAACTTAAAAAAGAAATCCTTAAATGCGTAATAGCAGTTGTATGCGAAGCGTATATAATTGCAAATATATAGCAATGTATATATGTAAGTACTTCTAGCAACTAGAAATTTTAGACAATTATTTAATAAAAATGATATATGTAGCATATAGTAAAGTGAATGAGTATGTTAAAAAATTCGACTCCTTGAAATTTTCTTAAATCTTCTTCTTGAACCTCGAAGTGTTACTTTGATATGGTTTTCATATTTTCTGTTTTTTTTTTTACTCTCTTCCAATATGAAGCAAATACGAACAAATAATAATCATTTAATATAATAAAGAGCTTTCACATAAGCTCATAAATATTTACAGAAATTAAAAGAAAATGTTTTAACTATAATAAACACATATGTATGTATGTATATATGGTTATGAAAACAAATACAAAATATTTCTGTGTATATACACGGTGATAGACATTGTTGTACACAACACACTTTTAATTTAAAATTTAGCTGCACCAAAAAACAATCCAGATAATGCTAATTCCGGCTAAAGCAGGAAAACGGACCCTTCTGGTGACTTCCAGACACATGCGTCCTGAGACAGTAGATGCGATTGAGCGAACATAATTTGAAACTGGTCTCGTAGAAACACCCTTCAATGTCAACAACCCTCAAAGCTATGCCTCACACTTTCAGTCACCACCCCGGAAATTGTTCTCAATAACGCTTAATTAAGAAGATGTAGTGTATCTATACCCAGCTAGCCATGGCCTCGTCAACGCAAAAGTAAGATTAAGTACTTAGCTAAAGCATAAACGTCTGCTATCCGCTCTCGCCCAGAAAGATTGTGAAGTTGAAAATATAGTACATGATACTATGCAGCGTGCGTTGCGGTAACGCGGCATCCATCTGAACCAAAGTTTTCCGTATGTAATTGTCCATTTGCTCTCGGTCAGATCTTATGGGCAACTTATCTGCGGCGCAGTTTCAATGTCAATATGACCCAAGTGCCTACATGAGTCTGACTAGGAAATAACCAGACGCTACCGAACTAGGAGTCAAACATTCCCATATTAGCTAGAGGGAACCGTGTACGAGCTCTATACTAAGTCGCGGACTTGGAAAACTGTTATCTCAACAGTATCATCGCGAAGGAAACTATTTGGTTTTAGCAAGTCCTAAAAAACCACTTGGGTCTCGAAGAATGTGCTGCTATCGGGGAGATGAAGGATGATGCCCAAAGGGCCACGACGCGATCAGGCGCAATGCGAGCAATGAAATATGGGAAAAAAGTTATATGTTTCAGTTGCCGACCGAGAAGAAATTCGCCAAAAAATTTAGCCAAAATTAATTTTCGAAAATATTGAAAACGGCTGATGGCAGGTCCACAAATTATAAACAAAAAACTTTTTCGCACTACTGAAAGGTACCAGCGGAGAAAAATGTAGACGTGACGAACATTCCAGGCAGAGTCTTGAAGTGTTGCAAAGCCCTTCAACGGGTCGCAGATTGCAAAGCTTTCCCATAGGAAAACCGGTTCTTACCGTGCAACCCGTAGACCGTGCAAGGGTTTCGCAAGACTGTGAATCCCTCTACTGATTCTTCAATTTATGATATTTAATTCAATGCTACCTTGCTCCAAAATTTACGGAATTCGAATAGCACTGGATACATTTTGGTAAGAACGAAGTTCTGCCGAAGGAAAAAAGAAATTTTTTTTTCGAAAATACAGCAAAATTAAAAATTAAAAAAATTTTGGAATTTTTATTTAAGTTATTGCTTTCACGTTTTTTTTGTTTCGAATATTTTTCAAATAGTTTTTTTTTTACATAGCCCCAAATATCACCTTTAAAATGAAACTCGCAAGATTTTTTACCTATAATAGATATCTACTAAAAAATAATTTGCAATTTTGGAGAAATTCAGTAAATTGTGTAATTTTGAAATTTCGAAAAAATATTGTTTCCTTGCCAGAAAAATTTATCCAAATCAAAAATGGTCTATCCGAACCACTGGTCGGTTTGACCCACACTGAGCCAAATACATATGGTCAATATGTATATTGGAATCAAGTGATTTCGGTTTCCTAAACAAGTTTATACTATGCACAATATTATCTTACTTCAGTGTGTTGAATACAACTTGAAATACGTATGCAATTAGGTACATTTATGCGTGAGTTTACAAACCATTTACAACATAACCAATCTGTAACCCAAAAATCATACTGGAATGTGAACATTTTGAAAAAATTGTTGAAATGAAACACAAATATGGTTAAAAAATTATCAAAAATAGTTGTTTTTTTTTTGTTTACAAAAAGTAAATGAAGTGATTAACAACGTTAACACAAACACATAGAGATTAACAAAAAACTAAACATGTATGTAAATAGATGCACAAACGAACAAATGTGATTTTGCTTAAATTGTTTCGATTTTTTGAACAGAAATTAATGAAATAAGTAAATCTATATTTTTTTTTTTATATTAAATTGATAATTACGTCGCATTTGGATCATATTCAGCCCATATCCGAACGAACTCGTCCAAATGATGGGCACCCAATATACTGGAGTCTCTGGTGAGATAATCGAAATTATCCATAATAACGGCAACGAATAAATTCAACATGAGAAATGAGCAAAAGAATATGAACGATACAAAATAAGCGTATGCCAGCGTTGAGCCGCATGTTTCGTTGCCCTTGTCGGCTTCCTCGTCGCATGGCCTCCCCTTAAGGCACGCCAGCATAATGTTCGGCCACGCCTCGCCAGTTGCACATCTATAAAGATTTTACGCAGAGCGTTAGTACAATATGGATCAAATAAGTTGTGTGCTACAGAGATAGCGTAAGTACTGTGTATGACAGTATTTATATATATACATATATAGTTATTTTTCTATTATACTAAGAATACATTAACTATACATATGTAGATAGTAAATATACAAGTAAAAGCAAATTTGTGTGTGTGTGTGTTTTTTTTTTCATAAAGTACATAACAATTTCGTTTTACTCGTTTGTGTTTTTGTGTGTATGTATCTATTTAGTAAAGTTTAAAAACGCGGCTAATCATATTAAATGCAAGTCTATATTTGCAACTCGTGTTGGATAGTACACAGCTGGGATGGGGAATTCAACTAAATGCGTATTTTTTGTACCGTTTGAACTACACTAAAATTGTAGTATACTCAATAAAAAAATTAGTTGCCATCAAAGAACAAAAAAAACTTTATAAAATCAGGTAATTGCTTTTTATTTTACTTTTTTTTTAAGGTTACATATTTATGTATACAAACAAATATTACATAGGTGAGTACATTAGACCGGTGCGCTTTGCAAACAAAAGCAAAAGATCCCGTTCTTGATACGTCTTTAAAACAGCCAAAATGTAGTTTTTATTTATGGCCCGATTTTATAATTGTCTAGAACTATTTAGGATCATTAAAAATTGATAACTTACTGAAGCCACATTAAAATCGGGTTACAAATAAAAAGTAATGAGTACTTCTCGATTTTGGCTATTTTCGGGACTCGTCAGAAGGAAAACTTTATGGCGCTCTTTGCAATACACTCTGTCGCATTTACATACATAATTTAGTGTGCATGTACAGTAAAACTTCGATAATTTATTTTATTTATATATTTTTTTTTTATTTTTTTTTTACTCTTAAGTATTTATTATATACATACATACGATATGTATTTTTAAATGCAAATTATTGTATACTTCAGAAAATTTTAATAAATATATTTCATTAAGTCACTTTAACTTTTTTATTTTAATATCTAATTGCAAATAGCTAATCGTTAATCCGAACTACTTATCGAAGCTTCACTGCATATTTTATGCAATTTTCAAATAATTTCCAAAGATTTTTTCATCCTACAACTGCTAAGAGTCAACTGTTTGATGAATTAGTTAGTAAGAAAAAACTTAGTTTTTTAAGATGATTTTTTTTTATATTTCTACTTTTGAAAAGAACTTTAGTAAAGTGTGCTGGCAACATTACATTGAAATAAACTGATATGTGTGTATGTTAGGAATGTTAATCCCGGGACCACTTGGCAAATAATCACGAGAAACTCCAGCCAGTATCGGCTATATGTCTTTTTTTTATTGAATAATTCATATTTTTTATGAATGTCTAGCCCAGTATACATATAACAGCGTGCGATAGTAAATTTTACATACAAAAATCTATATATTCGCGAAACCATGGGCCAAAAATAGTAAAATTGTGTTTTTAATTTTTCACTCTGACGTCAGTAATCCAAAAATTATTTAAACATTTCAGTGAAATGTGCTTAGAGAAGAAGAATGGATATCAAATTAAAGAAGAATTTAAGCAGATTCAATGTTTTGGTGCATAAGGAAAATGTCCTTTTAAAATTTAATCCTTGAAATTTCGCAGAATTAGTTTTTGAAAAAATTATATGTCAAGGACTTAAATAACCTTGATAGCATCCTCGAATTTCGTCCTTATAACTTTAAAAAATTACCCATTCGTCCTTGTTAATCTAAAAAAATTAAATTTTTGTATATTCTAAAGAAATTTTCGCTTTCATTTGGTACCCATACTTTTATTCTACATTGCATCGATTTTTTTATATAATTTTTGGATATAGTCATATCTTCGAAATTACAAAGTCCTTTAAAATAAATTTTGACGTCAGGGATAAAAAATAAAAATGCCACTTTAAATAAAAAAGTAGGTTTGAAACCCATTTGTTTTTTATTTATTTTATGGTAGGAGAGATAGAAGCAACTTTTTTGATTTAAATTGTTGAAAAGTAATGAATATCTGAATCCCGGGGCTAATCCCGGGATTGTGGTAACGACACCCCGAAAATCTCGGTAATCGTAATCTCGATAAGTCAAAAATTGTGATGATTCCTAACAATAGTTCTTTTCGATAGCGTGATATTTTTTGAGCGAAAAACTTTGTACTTTTTATGTCAATCGTGTCTGACATAACCTCCGGTTGAAAAGTAGCAATGGAGAAATGATGGAAGTTGTCCGTTCCATCATTTTCTACTGGATTACCAGAGTGAAACGAATGGGTAGGTCGTACATAGCTGGATACAAGGTCTACCGTAACTTTTACCGATTGCTCAAATTTGAACCACAAGGTTGGCAGTGGCCTCAAACTATACACAGTCCTTGCAACGGAATCTCTTCGAAGGTGGCAAAAGATGTAGGAAGACTCTGAACGAGTGAGCCGCGAAATCTATCGTGGACGTGGTATGAGTTCACGGGCAGAGTGAAATATCGGCAAATTGCGCAGCAGATGAGCTCGCTAAAAAAGCGGCTTACTTACGCTCAGTTAACTCTGTTCCACGATTGAGAGAATACAAAGGTTCCGCCGATCTCGGACCGCTATTCCTGTCTTAACCAATTTGACAGAATCGTTGTTTGCTTGACGTCACACTTGTGCAACTTGTTTACGTTTTCCTTGCAACATTTTTTCTTCTTCTTCCATTCTTGTTCACGTTTTGGCATTTCTCTCTCGCAATTGCACCAGTGTGATGTCACACAAAAGTTATTCTCAAAAATCCTCTCTGATCGGCGCAATCTTGTATTCTATCATTATTGACTCTGTTCGTGATGCAGGAAACTTTTTACCGTCTTGCAAAATTATCAAAACTGACAACCTAAAAGTTATGAGCGGAACCCACGTGTCGGAATACTTAGCTAATTTAGTTGTTTAACTATCAGCAGAAAAAGGTACCCAAAATTTTACTGAGAAATACCTGATTTTATAAAGTTTAAGATTTTTTTTTTCACATTTGGTTGTGATATAAATAAATTAAAAACCTTGAATGCTTCTTCACACGTAAAACGACTGTTTCATTAACTTTTATACAAATACATATCTACACAAGTATGTATGTATGTTAAGTAAAATGTCTGGCAATATCTAACAATTTTAGCATAGATTTGATTTTAGCTGTGTGAACGGTGTGATATTACTTTAGGCATATTATTTAGTATTTAATGAGCATATTTA